ACATACATACATACATACGTATACGGTGCATATATGCATACCTGAAATATACACACCGATAAAGGAGGACCCAGATGGAGAAAGTTCCATCCCAGCTGAGAAACCATCTCCCATGCCAGCATGCCGCTGACTTCGAGTAGATGAGCCCGGGGGCAAAGGTCCCATTAGCAATGTCCTGAGCGCAGTTTAAGGTGACAGGTTGAATGCTTCAGGGATTTAGGGCTTTCGAAAACTAGAAACTGTGCATCACGTTGTTTCGAACTGACTCCACCCGAATTCCATGTCCCACTCGATGCAGCCACACCGCCCCCACAACTCAAAAGCACGGGTATAGGTAAGATCTACTTGTAAGAACGGCCCAACCCATGGAAACCATTGGCCTTTTGGAGGACTGCAGCCAGCTCCAAACCCTAAACCCAAACCCNNAACCCAAACCCTGAACCCAAAACCAGCTCAGGCGCTCTGGCTGAGCCCTCCTGGAGGATGATCCAGAGGGTGAAGGGAGGTGCTCAGACTCCCCGGGCCACAAACCGCTCTCTGCCTTCCTTAGCTTCTGAAGCTCCCTACTATGGCAATAGTAATAGTACTATTAATAGCACTAGTAAAAATACTAGTAATAGTAACCGGAATATTACTAGTAATAATGACATTTTTCCGAGAACGCTTATAGGAGTCCCCGATATCTCCATCAGTCAGGCAACATGGACCTCGAGGCCCCGCTTGACGCATGCCTCATCTGCTCACGACACGGAGGGGTAAAACCGACAAAGCGAATGAGCCAACTTTAAGGTTTAGGGTGTAAGGGTCTATGGTTTACGGGTTAGGGTTTTGCAGCTGCTTCGCAGCTCATAGGTCTCGTGTCTCTTGTTTAACTACGGCTGTTCAACGCACTCATTTGGATTTGAAACCGCGCGATTTCACCTGCAACTCCCCATCCAGGAGCATGACGATAATATCCCTCGATCTGCCTGGAAAACTAACTGAAAATTGTACATCTATATATAAGTTTAAGTATGTGTATATGCACATCTGACATTTCAAGTGCACCTAATGGCCAGCTAAGCCCTTTATGACGTAAGCAAAGTGTCAACAGCATGGTTTCTGAATCTTGCCGTGCCGCCCCCCGGACAAAGACCGGACCGCTAGTTCAGAGGGCTGGTACCTCAGCAAGCTTCTCATCTCAGGTCTTCCTGAGGTTGTTCGTCGCGCTGCAACTTCGGAACTTGCACGGCTTTATCGAATGGGCTTCATACTTCAAAGGGCGCGAAGCTCTGCTGCAGGGATGTTTCTCAAAGTCACCGCCAAATATCTCAAGATAAGGCCTGAACCCCGTAGGACGCGCGTCCGGGGCCGCCATGGCAGACCTGCATCAGAGCTTCAAATGTGAGACAGCAAAAGCAGAATGTGTTGGACATGTTGCGAGCAGATGTCCACTGAGCCCCGCGTCATTCTCGAAGTCAGAATGAGACGGGTGCTTCACAAATTGGGGCTCCCCGCAAGTACGCACAAATATCAAAACATATTCGCTTCAATTGCACCACCCGGCAAGAGTCCCACATCACCACAGTTGCCTTATGGCATCGAGCAGGGCCGCCATGAGGTATGGCACAGGTGCTGCTACCCCTGACACATAGGGCTGAGCCACGTGCTTCATTAAGAGCGGCCATGCAAAGAGGATTCCAGAGTTGATGGAAATTTCGCTGGCATGCAACTAATCCAAGTGGGAGTGTATCAAAGCGTCATACACCCTCCGCCACTCTACAAGACTCAGAAAGATTCTGCTTTGTGTGCTGAAGATGAAGCTGACATCTTTGGCCGGCAGGCTTGTACAGTACTGCGTGAGACTTAGATTTGCAGGCATCCGCCTGCTAAGCAGGCGACAAGGCATCAACTCGCAGAGCTAGTGAGGATCCAAAATAAACACGGTAAAGCCGCAAGACACCAGTGATCATGCTTCTAGCGGGCTATTGGTGCAAAATGGGGATGATAACAAAAAGCACTCATGGTCCCTGAGTAATTAGAGGCAGCATGATTTGCAAAACATGTGCTGTTCTAGAAGATTACGCCACTTCGCCCCTTCAAACATCAACAGTAGGTGTATCAGTCGGTTCAGTTGGCGTTCACGCAGGTCAGTCACGTGTGTACTAGGGCGGCCTCAGCACACTCATGTATGTGCCTTTCCGCATATTGTCTTCACTGGTTGTATCGGAACAAGTCCTCTGCGGCACCTGCACTTCCAGCTTCTCAGGCCTTCGCCGCAGACCTCCAGCTGCAACATCTAGCACGACGAGATGAACAGATATACAACCACCCTCCGCAAACCTCATTATTGATCATTCTCCCGGAATAGCCTCGTTAGTCGCAGTTCTCCACCTCAGCCGTCGTCTTGGCCCGAAAGCACTTTCGAGCACATCTGCCTTGGCTGCCATGAGCCCACAGAAGCAATGCTGTCGGTAAGCCAGAACTCCAGGTCCTCCTAAATTGGACGGCTGCAGTTTACATGGCAAAGCAGCTCGGGAGATCTCGGGAGCCAATGCAGCCAGGGAACGCACACAACAGGATCAGGTGGGCATCAACCTCTGCTTCGGTCATGGCGTCGGATACTTGGCAAGATCAGGAGGCACGAATTGAAGTTCTTGAGCCAGAGGGCTTGGGCAAAGAGGCAAGAAGGGATGCATGCAGGCTTCTTGTGGGGGAGCTCACTAGGAATGCACAGCCCTCAACTTATATGTGGGATTGAAGCTGAAGCAGCAAGCTGCGTGCAAAAGATGGCCACCCACTTGGCACTCTCGACAGCCAACCTCACATACAATGAAAAGATTTCCAGGCCAGGGACATTGTTGACTTAACGGAAACTGCGCAGGCCAGCGCCAAGATTCAGCCGACGTTCAGAGTTTGGGTTTGAGCGCAGGGGTCTCATGACGAGATAAGACATGTTGCCCTGTCAAGCCCAGTTGCATGCCACCCGAAGCTACCAGCAAGCAACTCCCCTATTTCTTCTTGCTGTTTGCGCAGCTACTTGCAAAGCCTGCTGCGGAAAGGTCAAGTCAAGGTGAGACCATCTGCTACAAACAGAAAATGTGTGCGAAACCCAGGTTGCACAAACCCTCCTTCATCAGATCGTTGAAGCCGGGCGGACCACATACCTCAGCCGCTAAGCTGCAGCTGGATGCGGCTGAAATGAGAATGGAAAGGATGACATCCAAAACTCGACTACCATTGCGAACAGAACACCTCAAACGGAGCAGGCTCAAGCTGACTTGCATGCCCAAGTCTCAATGCTGGTCCTCTATCTGCACAGGCTCAAAATTCAGACCAGCTGCCCTTGCTTTGAAACTCTGCTGTACATTCTTGTGCCGTTTTTGCAAAGGGCACCTTTTCTGATGTTTACGCCGTAAACCATGGGACATCCCAAACGCAACCCTGCATCCCTGAGTGTGCATCAAGAGTGCCAGCGCCAGGGTGTCGTTGCTCCCATGGCCCAGCCACTGCTCCAGCACCTCCAAATGCTCTGCAAGCAAAGGTTGCCGTTCTCCCCACATTCGCACAGTGCACATTCTGGGCTGCCACTGCAACGTACATGAAGCCAGCGAATTGAAGTAACTTACTGATACTTGAAGCGTTTAAATGTCTGGAAGCCGCATCCGGGCCCTGGGGCTTCAACAGAGGTATTAAGTGCAAAAAAGTTGGTGGTAGTAGTACTAGTCGTCGTGGTGGTCGTAGTAGTACTACTAGTGCTAGTACTAGTACCAGTACTAGTACNNTACTAGTACTAGTACTACTAGTAGTAGTAGTAGTAGTAGTTGTTGTTGTTGTGGTGGTAGTAGTAGTAGTAGTAGTAGTAGCAGCAGCAGCAGCAGCAGCTCGCCAAGCATAATGAGGGTTGCAAGTGTTCAGTTCTCTAAGAGCACTACATCGCATCCTCTTGCTCTGCAAGCAAAAGTGCCTTCTGGTCCACGCGGCCGCAATGACCATCCTTGAAAGCCTTGGGCTGGCTTACCTGAGCACTTTTGAATCATAGGGTTTAGGGCTTAGGGTCGCCCAGGCCATCTGGGGGATTCTCAAAATGAGGGGGACGGTTTTGCGGAGTCCACAAAAAAGGATTGTAGTATTTTGCCAGTTTGGGCAAACTATCATCTTTGAGAGCCCCCAATCAAGGCCAGACTACTTTCGTCCCAGAGAATTTCAGGGCACTAAATTCGGGGACACGGCTTTGCATGAACCAGAGGTCCAGAAGCGCACCTCTGACTATAACGTGTCAAAAGCAAATGAGCGAGCGCTGCCTGGCGGGGAGTCCTATCCGTAGTTTGGAGGCAGGAGGCTGGCTTGTGCCAGTGTTGCCGCATCAACTGACTACGATGTTTCTTAGCTGTGGGAAGTGGCTTTACTCGAGCTTCAGAATCCGCTCCCAGCGTTTGTGCTGTGGTCAACTGTGTACCAGCTCTTGCTTCCAGGGAGCTGCCAAGAACAGGCGGAAGCGACTGGCAAACCTTTCAACACCGACACATGTTATCAGGGTCATACGCCCTTCGAAAGGATACATGCTCGCGGGCCACGGTGACAACAAACAACATGGAGCAGGGGACCAACGGTAGAATAAATGATTGGTACCTTGCTAGATAGCATAACTTAACTTTGGATCTAGCTACCAGCCCTCCCTTGGTCAAAGCAAGTTTGCTTGAGGCAGATGGACTGGGATCTGCAGGAGGATCCAGAAGAGCTGGTAGCAGTCTGTACGACTTTCAGGCTGTGCGCGCCCGAGGACAAACACCCAAGGATCTGATGCAACAGTTACGTTTGCTCACAAATTAAGACCCCGCCTCCGCCCTCATGTAGTAGAATCATGGGTTGTATTCGGGATCCGTTTTAAGATCATGTTTTGCTGCATGCATGGCTCGGAGGATCATTTTAGGGATCTTGTAAGATTACAAGTCCAAGTTGTTCAAACTCAATCCGAGCCAAGCAGCTGCTGCTCCAACTGTCGCAATTCTGTCAGGAAGGCGATCCTGAAGTGGATTCGTCCAGAAATTGGGATCTCCCGCGTCTGGCCCACCAAAATACGAGAAGCCTTATTATTGGGACCCCGGACTTAGGGAAATCCTCAGCCAAACAATATGCAAGAACCCACCGAGGAAACCTTGCGCTTGAGGCTTCAATGGCTTTGTCGACCCAAATAGGGTCAGGCCACAAGTGAAGCATGAGCTGGCTGAGGGTTTGTTTTCGGGTTTAGGGGGTATGAGCTGCCGGTGAAAAGGGGTTTAGGGGTATGAGCTGCCTTTGAACCCGTTGCTTATTGAAAGAAGCTTGAGATTTGGTTGGGCTAGAGAGCCACCCCCTGTTCATGATTCATTCGCGTCAGCGCCATGCAACAAGACCTACTGGCGCTACATGCTTTCGGCTTTTAACTAGGTAGGCGTGTTACGAAATACTACCTAGTGTTCTAGATTACCTGGTTACATCTTGGGATTTTGCTACCTAGTCTAGAACTGTTGCACTTGAAGTTGCCTTGACAGAAGCCCTTTCTGCAAAGCGTCTCATCCTCTGAGCGATTGGAGTAGACCAGCGTGACAGAGATCTCACTCCGCCCGAGGCCTCATGCTTTGCGAAAACTGTGCTAGCGGCGTGCTGACTGTGCTCTTACGTTTCATGACTTTAGCCAGAGCTCGGGATGCCAGGCAAAAGCAAATGCCGGAGCGAATGCACTGCATGAATCCTTTGAAGCTGCGACTTAACAACAGGATACCGCACCCCGCGCACCTGAAGCGACCCAGTCCTCAGGGGAAAACAGCGGATCATCGGCAAGAGTGCCCTCAACCCCTCCAGCACTTTTGCAAACTGACCGGGTTCCACCCCTCCATTTGACGTATGCTTTGGCAGGGAAATGGGGCAGTGGATCCCTATAGAAGCCATGTTCATGGCAAGTGAGGT